TAAAAATAAAATAAGGGTGACACAAACATCTTCTTTATTTTACTGCATTCTTCTTTCTTTCACAGTTTTGCAGTTTTGGTGAAGAGTCAACCACGTCCATTTTTCAGCACACCTGCACTTCCTTCTTCATTTTTTATTCTCATTTTCACCCTTCGGACTTTTTCTTTGAGGGTGTTAGGGTGCAGGGTACAAACAAAGTAAAATGACACGAACTTATGTTCTTCTTTTACTGCAGTCTTCACTGTTTTGCAGTTTTAGTGAAGGGTTTCCCACCTTTGCACATTCTTGTACATTCTTTTCAGCGCACCTACACATTTTTGTCAGAGATCAAGGTACGTCTAAGTAAGACCCTCACGACAGATAGGACAACTATCATAAGGATGCGGGCGATGGTAGCAGCCCTCCCGCTGATCTATAGGACGAAAACCATTCAGGTAAGCAACTTCGTCACAGCAGGAACGAGGACGGTTAGCATCGACCATATCTTTGAAGCATGCACGGCAGAGGGCATGCCGGTTGCAGGCCATGACCATTGTGGGGCGTTCACCATCATAGTTAAGTGCACATTCGTTATAGCGCCCGTAGGCACAGATGGGACATACTGCATCTGGATGCAGAGGATGTTCACAATCCTGATACAGGTGGCATCCCTACCGACAGCGGGCCCGAAAAATTATATGATTGTAGTGATGTCGACAAAGTCGATGCTTTCCACAACCAAGTGTAACTGTGTCAGTGATCTCATAAAGAAGGAGGTCACAAGGTGTTAGTGCAGCATGCGGGGGAATGAAGACTAAAGCAGGCTCGGTGACAGACATGGAGGTAGGCATAGAGACAGACACAGAAACGGGCATGGAGACACACACAGAAACAGGCATGGAGACAGACACAGAAACGGGTATGGAGACAGGTGCGGAGGCGGGCACAGAGACAGGTGCAGAGGCGGGGAATGAAGTACACGAGGTACCTATAGGGTCAGTAATCTAGAAGGAGACAGACATAGAAACAGGCATAGAGGCAGGTACGGAGGCAGGCACAGAGATAGGCGTAGAGACGGGCACCACTCCTACCTCCCCTGGTTTTGTCTCCATCCGTTACCCCTCTTCCTAATCCACAAACCACTTCGTCCACACAGACTCCGTCATCATGTTCTGCCCTTGCAGAAAGCCTACTTCGCCGTCCTAGAAGCCGACTTCGACCTACTTCCCGACCTCAGCTTACTCCCCTTTCCTCCATCTCTGTTCTTGGACGAAGAAGAACCCGTTCATTCTCCCCACCACGGCCCTCCCCAACATCCCGTCCCCTGCCGCCCCAAGCATCCTTACCACGCCTGCAACGCTCTTCGACTGCAGACCTTTCTGCAACGCGGCAAACACAAAACGGGAGGGATGATGGCGAGGGACCATCTAAGGATGAACTTGGCAAGGGGACTATAGGAGATTCTGTAGAAAATCCGCCTGACCGGCCTCCACCAAATCTGCGTGGCCTCGCTGCTACTAACATTTGCCTACAAGCCTATCGTCGGGAACCATATACTCACTCTGATTACTTTGCCATTGCTTCCGATCTTGATGCTCAGGAACGTGAGTCATATGGCGATAACCCGGCTCTGCATCCCCCACAGGATAGTAATTACACTCGACATGGGGGATTCAATGTCTCTGTTTTGGAGACTGCTTTGATAAGGCGCCAACTTGATATGCACCGTGCCCCTTCGGGTGGCGACCCGGACCAGTGTTCGCATGTTTGTGCCTATATTCTACTGTTTTTTCTACATACTCCTGGCCACTACACCGCTCTTGTCCGTGCCTCTGGTTCTTGGGAATAATGGAATGGCGGTGCTATGGTGCAAACTATTACTGCCATCTATGATCTCGTGCGTAATTACCCTAACCTTCAACTGCTCCAGGTCATTGACCCTACGGGTACCTCGTGTACTTCCATGTGGTAGAGTAGTCGGAAGGTGGGTAACAGACGGCGATAAAACCAGGGGAAATAAAGGCGGTGAAGATGGGGGGGATGAAGTCAGGGGTGGTGAAGTGGCTGAATCAGAGACAGGGGGGGCAATCGTAGGTGAGACCCGAAGAGGGGACTCTGCAGGTGGTAATGCAGGCATGGCCACAGATGCCATGGAGGAACGCACCGAGACCAGGGGCGACACAACAGATGCGGTGGTCACGGATGCCATGGAGGAACACACCGAGACCAAGGGCGACACAACGGCTGCGGTGGCCACGGATGCCATGGAGAAACACACCGTGACACCGAGACCAAGGGCGACACAGCAGGTGCGGGTCGAGTTGCTCCCACGGAATCAATTGTAGAAGCAACCAAGGCCGATGAGGAAGAGGCTGCGAACCGAAAAGGGGCAGCCAGGGTCACAAACAACATGGAAGGGGTCACTAAGACTGATGAGCACGCAGGTGCGGCAGACGCAGGTAATGAAGAAGAGGCTGTGATAGGTGTGACAGGCGTCGATAATGAAGAAGGGGCTGTGACAGGCGTAGTCCGAGGACAGTGTGTAGATACCCCAGAAAGAGGGTGATGAATAGACCATCGAAGCATGCTGCGGAACCAGCTGGAAAGGCGGGTCACGTGCGCAGGGTACCTGTGTTGACGTTTACGAATGTAGGAAGTCCATCCTTTCGCAAGCGTTGTTGGAGAGTGCCCGCGAAAAAGCATGCGGCGTGTGAGCATCGCTGCTGCAGTTTTGAAATCATACCAGTTGTTGCAGACATACTCAAACCTAGTAAGCTGGCCTGTAAACACTCCCGCTGGTTGGTGTGCAGGGACGTTAGATGTAGCACTCGGATAACGAATAACAGGGAAATTTCATTCAGCTGCTTTGTCAAAGACACCCATACGCAGGGAGCCGTCATGGCGGGCTTGGAGGCGTGCACCCAAGAATGTGCAAGAGCCATCAGGCATTGTGGTCTCCTTCCATTCGAGGCCATAGTGCTCTGACGGTGGTGGCAGATATCCCCATGAGAGAACATCATCGATCAAGCGGTATGTGAACGCATACCGTTGAGCTGTGCGAAGATCATGCCGCTGGAGGTCATCAACAAATCGAGCCTCATCCCAATACAACGTCAAATTAGCTATCTTCGAACCAGAATTAGTCCCCATCGGGATGCCAATCAACTGATGTCGCAAGGTGCCGTCCGCTGCATAAAGATAAGTGTTTGTGACAATGAAATGGAGATGTTCAAGAATTTGGGAAACGATCAAGGTGTTTGGTCCGGTATCAACCGTCCACTCCCCTTGACGGGGTCCTTTAACAATCACGTTAAGGGTAGGAGGATGTGCGCACCCCTGTGTGTGTCGTTGTAAGGCATATGTATAGGCTTCCTCGACCGCTTTTGAAACATTATGACAAATACGGTCATGAGGAAGATTGGTATACATAGTTGTGAAATCAACAGTGCGAGGAGCATGGTCACGAAGAGAAGAAGAGTTACGTTTGAGATCAAGCATCACCTCCTCARCGCTTTGCACGATCCAGCACCGTCTCACACCGCTTTGCTRATACAACACATTATCCTTCTCACGRAGAGTTTCAATGACTCCTTGTAGTGCAACGYTGAGGCGGGCAGAAGTGACGGTAGTACKGGCCAAGGGTTTGTRGGGAGKKCGATGGTGGACTGCATGAACASATGGCGCAGTTGATCGAGATCATTGCAGCAGGGAGAGATTATTCCGCTCTGTGACGCCGACAATACTGCGAAGCCCAGGGGGCGATTTGTGCGCTTTAAGTGCATAGTACAGATATGGCAGCGTGTCTTTGTGTGTATATCCCCACCGATGATTCCAAAGCGCGTGATGTTCCAGAATATCTGCGACAGACTCAAGAGGCACATCATAGGTAGGG